GTTATAATTCGCCAACTCATTAGCCAAATAAGCAAGCTCCCAACCAAACACGACATTGCCAATTTTTGGAAACACGACTCCTTTGAAATCTTATATGCCAAACCCAATTCTTTTTCTCCCCAAACACAAGCCGATCCCTTTGTCCCAAATCAATCTCAAGAACTCTAAACCTCCAATTGTTCCAATCGGCGAGAAGCCTGTCGGGGGAAATTCCCAAACTAGACCTGAATCTCCATACCTTTGTCACAAATATCAAATCGATGTAAGTATTTTGTCCCAGAGTTGAGTTTTTGGCTTGAAGGAACTGTGTTTTCAAATTTCTTTGGCGAGTTTTGTTTTTGCTTTTGAAATCTGTTGCATTCTATATATGTTTGCATTTTTTTTTTTGGCGATTTTATTATATATATGCTGCCTTTTTATTTTGAAATATGTTGGTAAAGAAGTGAAGACTTTCAAACAATGTACAAGATTTCAAAATAAAAAGACAGCATATATATAATAAAATCGCCAAAAAAATTGAAAACATCTATATGCAATAGATTTCAAAAGCAAAAACAAAACCCGCCAAAGAAATTTGAAAACACGGTTCCTTTAAGCCAAAAACTCAACTCTAGGACAAAATACTTGCACCGATCTGATATTTGTGACAAAGGTATGGAGATTCCGGTCTAGTTTGGGAATTTCTCCCGACGGGCTTCTCGCCGATTGGAACAATTGGAGGTTTAGGGTTCTTGAGATTGATTTGGGACAAAGGGATTTCACGGCTTGGGTTTGGGGAGAAAAAGAATTGGGTTTGGCATATAAGATTTCAAAGGAGTCGTGTTTCCAAAAATTGGCAATGACGTGTTTGGTTGGGAGCTTGCTTATTTGGCTAATGAGTTGGCGAATTATAACTTATTTGGAAGGATTTAACCGGCCAATTCATTTTTCCATCATCCACGTAGACGCGTCTGTTAACGGTTTGAAATGGGTGAGTGATGAAGTTGGACAGAGTGAAGTTCAGTGGCCACCGAGACAATTTTAAAAGTTCGATGAGTAAGTCGTGACACAACCCAAACTTCTATATTTTGGACTCTGGTAACAAAAAAGCTTTTGCTGTAAAGTTGACAATTATATCACTATGAATAGTTAAATGGACCAATTTACCCAAATTTATAATAACAAATCACACCATTTATGTTACCTTATATAACACTTTATATAAAAGAATGTATTTAATTGACTTTATTCTTATGTAAAGCGTAATTTTTTCACCAAAATTCTTATTTTTGGGGTGTTTGATTATTTTCCAACTTTTGAGTTTTGATCATATGACCATATTTTCCTCAAAA